CTAATGCATGAAAATCCTAACCTCAAAAAAATCACCCGTTATAAAGAGGGCTGTACAAAAGTTAGAAAAATTTGTTAACAAAAGCGCTCTAAACTAAATCGCGTCAATTTTGGAAAAATCTGTAAAGAACATTAGAAATCTTTTTTTAACTTTTTAGCTATAAAACTCTGCATTAATCATCTGAAATAGCGCATAAAGATGAAAATCTCCATTTTTAACACTTACTTTACCTATTGACGAAAAATTACCAATTCAATATTTCCATCATTTGATATTCTGATTACATACATATGTACATATGTATACATACAGGCATTTTATCAGAGCTCAGACGGTTCCCCTTGCCTTTGTTTTTGCGTACTTAGTTTTTCTCTCTGGAGTCAGGATTTTCTTAAAAGGACTTCGAAGTTAAAAAAATATGATTATCTCAAAAAATTATATAAAAAATTCAGTGCAATGTAGGATGACAATAAGGGTATCATATAAAAGAAAAAATTCTGTAGAATTATAACAGAATACGTTTTTTGGTGCATAAGGACGTATGGGTATGGAAAATATCGTTTAAAAATTTTTTATTTAAGAAAAATATCTTTGAAAATTTGCTAAATTTATTTAAAAAAAATAGTTTTTGAGGACTAATATACAGACGACGTCATCATCAAATTTCGTCCTGAAAACGTTATTAACTTAAAAATATAAAATTTAATAATATCCGTCCTTGTAAACCAAAAAACTTTGTTTCTAAATTCTACAGAATTTTCTCTCTCATTTGGTACCCATATTTTATTTTACATTGCACTGAGTTTTTTAAATAATTTTTTAAGTTATTCATTTCTTTAAAATTTCAAAGTCCTTTGAAAAAAAAATCCAGGCGTTAGAGTGATAAACTAAAAACGCATTTTTACTATATTTTTCCCATAGTTTCGTGAGTATATCGATTCTTTCGCGTGTTTTGAAATTTTTTTGTTCTTATCGCACGGTGTAATAATTCGCGCGTACACTTATGTTACTGTTTGGCCGAGCTTCTCCTCCGATTTGTGGCGTGCATCTTGATGTTCTCACACAAAGAGAATTTAAATACACACGGCCTGAAAATCATTTTCCACAAAAAAAAAATTTGCTATATGAAAAAATTTCAGAACTTGAAACGATTGAAATCAAGCATTGATAGAAGGGGACTAACCACTATTTTCTGTCGCTAAGTTGTACATTCATATATAGAAAATGCCAAGTCAAAGGGATAAAAAGAAAATTGGAAACCAATCATAATTCGGTTGGCATGGAATTTTCCATATACAGCTGCGGCCAATGAATCAGCACCGAAATTCAAAATGATATTGTTTGCAACTTATGCATGTTTATTTATTTATTTTCAATCAATTTCATTTCAAATATAATTTGTGCAAGCTTTGAAACTTTTATTTATCTATGTATGTATGTGGTTTCTGTTATAGATTGAATTATATTTTTAATGAAAATTATTAAAAATAAATAAACAAACATAAGTTGCAAACAATATCATTTTGAACTGGGTGCTAATACATTGACCGCAGCTGTGGATACATACATGTTAATTTTTTTTTTTTTGCCGGCGGTCTTTCCGCTTGCTTTTTATGTGAGAAACATGCACAACATCGCATGAAAAAAAAAAATTTTCTAAAACCAAACAAAATTTTTAGCTACTTCAAACTTGCACTTTATTATTCTACTAAAATCCCGTAGCCGAAATTTTCCTTCAAATTTGATTTAAAAGTTTGAAATTTTAATGAAAATTTTATGAATTTTTCAAATTGTTATGCGAATTTTGAATCTTTTATTTATGGGTCATTACATGTAAAAGAGGAAAACGACGTAAATTTTAAATTTTCTTATAATCTATATTTCAGTAGTAACCTATTGTTAAATGACTACATTTCATTAATTCAAATACATTATATGGTATTTTTTTAAAGGAATTTCGTACATCAGTTATTTATTTATTATCCGAAAATATCTTTAACGGTTGTCAGAGTTCCCGCGACATAGTTATTACTCACAATTCATCAATTTCTGGAGTCCGCTGTCCAACCAGTCACAATGTAATGGCCCTTGTATAGATTTTGTTACAGTGTGAATTGTACATATATGTATGTGTATTAAAAAAAAAAATTATTTTAATTTACGAAATTCTGCCAATTTTTTTAAGTGGTGGTAAGGTTTGCGTTGCCACAAGTATTTTTGTTCAGTACAAATTTTTTTCTCGTAGTTCCCTGCGGCAACTTTTTTTACCAAATTTTGATAGAAACCTTTTTTTTTTGTTGGTTTTTCATCATTCTGCATCCCATCTTAAAAAAAGTTTTATGCCTGTGTACATACTGTACTATACATACATACATACATACATCCCTAAGCATGCGTAAATACCATTTATTTATACTCATTATTATTTTTTATTAAAATTGCTGCCTAATCCTTACTTTTCGAATTACTCATTTCCCATATCTTCTTCTATTGTTTTTCTCACCTTTAGAACGGATATTGAAAGCGACGTCACACAACCAACGCCAAACAATCTCTACTTACCTACTCAACCTTTGAAGGACAACTCGAATATTAGGATTATCAAAGTCAATTCTGAGTATACACAGTCGGTGGATAGCACAACAGCTGCATTAAAGCAACACCAACAACAGCCACAGGCGACTACGACCATCACCACTACTACAGCAGCAGCGAATAATAGTTTTAACAATCATTTGAATAACAATAACAATAATAGGAACGCTAATACAGTTAACAACAAAAACAACGAACGCCCGCTTAAGTGTCTCGAAACACTCGCACAAAAGGCGGGAATCACGTTTGACGAGAAATACGATTTCGCTAGTCCACCGTATCCGGATACGCATATTAGTAGCGCCAGTAACGGCAACAACCACTACAGCCATAATCCCAACGTCAGCTATAGGCATACTTTAGGAGTGAGCAGTGGTGGAGTTTCATCGTCGTCGTCGTCGTCGTCGTCGTCGCATTCATCCGCTTCATCGACGACCTCATCAGCATCATCCACATCTTCGACTTCTTCGACATTTGTCAGCTCATCAACGCCAGCAGCAACGGCTATCGCATCCACTTCGACACCGCAGAAAAACTTCACGCTGGAGAAATCACAGAGTCCAGCTCAACAAGTGGCGCCTTCATCGGTGCCACTACAAATCTCACCCGAACAATTACAGCAGTTGCAACAACTGCAACTGCAACATGGCTCGCCATTCACTGCCATACAGGTGAAACAGGAATTTCCTACGCACACTGCCACCACACATCAGCTGAGCGCTGCCGGGGCGGGCGGGGAGCTGAAGCACCCCGGTTTGTTGGATCCCACGCAGGCCAATCAGCTGCAACAAATGCAAATGCAGTTGGCGGATCCTACAGCCGGTGCGCCCGGCAGTCCGGCTAATCAGCAAACACCAAGTAGCGCGGCCGCTGCTGTTGCTGCGATGCAGCAGCATTCGACCACCATAAGTACTATGTCGCCGATGCAGTTGACCGGACAGGTGTTGGGTGATTGGGCACAGGGGCGTACGGTGCAGTTGATGCCACAACAAACGGCGCTTAATTCGGGTTTCCTGTATCCACAACTCGTTTCTGGCAACTTGATACACTCGAATTTGGGACAGCAGCCGATACAGGTGGGTGCTGTTGAGTTTACTTGAATTTTATGTATTTCTTAATCGATGTATAAGTACAATTTTCCTTGGTCTACGCAGGTTATCGCTAGCAAGCCGTTTCAAGGTGGCACGCCTCAAATGATTACCACCACCACGCAGAATGCTAAGCAAATGATCGGCGGTAATGCAGGGTTTCCCAACACCTACGCCATACCGTCCAGTCAATCGCCACAGGCGCTCCTTTTCACGCCCGTGCTCGCACAATCGCCGCAACAGCAACAGAATATATTTAATTCCATGGCAGCTGCAGCAGCTAATGCTCAACAACAGCAACAGCAACAACAACAGCAACAGCAGCAACAACAAAATGCAAAGGCCACAAGCGATGCGCAGAAGGGTCTGCAGCAGAAGGTCGTACAAAAGGTGACAACCACCACGAATACAGTGCAATCGGCCGCGGGCGCCGCCGGTGCTGTGGCTCAGCAGCAGCAACAGCAGCAGCAGTCAACGCAACAATGTGTGCAGGTGTCGCAAGCTACAATGCCGACACAGATAATTAGTCCTCTGCAAAACGCCACTGGTGCACCGCAAATGCAAATTGGCCCATGGGTGCCGTTTTGGTCGAATGGCCTACAACAGTTGCAGAATCCAATTATAATACGCGGCACGCAGGCGGATGGTACGCAGAGCATGTTTATTCAGCAGCCGGCTTCGCATCAAACAATACAGGCGCAGCAGCAGAATCGTAAGTGATAGAGAATTACGCAGCGCTTGAGTTACGTTTACAACAACCCGTTTTCCTCTTTTTCCTTTGTAGCCATCACCTTACAGTGCAACGTCGCACAGCCCGCTGTCAAGCCGCGTCAACAAATAGAAGCGCTCGCGCCCAAACAACAGCAAACCCATCAACAACAGGCACAGCAGCAGCAGCAGACGGCGCAGGCCGTCGTCGCAGCCGCCGCTCAATTGCAGCAACAAGCCGTTACAGCTAGCCAATTGCAGCAGCAAGTGGCGCAACGCGTGCCGCAAATATTGCCGCAAAATGGCGCTCAGATACGTCCGGCTAGTTCGGTGTCGACGCAGACTGCCCAAAATCAAAGTTTGCTAAAGAAGATGCGCACCAAGCAGCAGCCAGTGCGGCCAGCACTGCCGACAATGAAGACTGAAAATGGCCAGCCGCAGCAGCTGAAGCCCCAAACGGTCGCCACGGCAGCTGGGTTGCAGCAGCAAGGCGCAACTATGCATCAGGTGGTTACGCCTGCGGGTAAAATGGTTGTGATGTCAACCGGGCCGCCGATAACCATACAAAATGGACAGGCCATACAGCAGGCCACCACGACTGGCCATGTCGACAAGCAACAGCAACAGCAGCAGCAAATTCAAATACAGCAGATGCAGAAGCAGCAGCAGCAACAACAACAGGCTCTACTGCAGCAGCACTTGCTACAGCAACAATTTGCATCGGCTATACAAATGCAACAACAGCAGCAACAACAACAACAACAGCAACAGTTGCAACAACACCAACACCAGCAGCAACCGCAACAGATACAGTTGCAGGTGACGCCACAAACATTCATCACACAGCAACAGCAAGCGCAACAACAACAACAACAGCTACAAACTCAGTTGCTGCAACAGCAGCTAGTTCAACAACAACAGCAGCAGCAGCAACAGCAACAGCAGCAGCAGCAGCGTGAGCAACAACAGAATATAATACACCAAATCGTCGTGCAACAGCAGCCACAGCAGCAACAGGCTCAGACTCATGCCCAGCAGCAGCAGCAGCAACAACAACCACAACAGCAGCAGCAAACGCATTTACCACCGCAGATTGCCGGCGTACCCTTCTCGGTGTCCTCTTCGACGCCATCAAGCATAGCCTCGTCCGCAGCCGCCGCGCTGCAGCAACATGGCGTCTATCAGTCGAAGGCCTCGACGCTGCCAACAACGTCAGTGGTGACTATCACTAATCAGGCTGGACCATTGGTCACCAGCACCATTGGCATTAATCAGACGGCACAGCTGCAGCAGCAACAACAACAGCAGCAGCAACAGCAACAAGCACAGCAGGCGCAACAACAAGCGCAGCAACAGCAACAAGCACAGCAGGCGCAACAACAAGCGCAGCAGCAGCAACAACAACAGCAAAGTTTACTGGCCGCAACTCTTGCCGCCTCGCAGCAGCAGCAGGCACAACACCAGGCGCAGCAGCAGCAGCAGCAAGTACAACAGGCGCAACAACAAGCACAGCAGGCGCAACAGCAACAAGCACAGCAGGCGCAACAGCAACAAGCACAGCAGGTGCAACAACAGCAGCAGCAAACCCAAATGGCTCCGCCATCCGCTCACCCACTGCCACAGCCCAGCATGGTTTCCACACCCACACAGAGTCCACTGCTCGGCCTCACATCAATGATGAACGCATCCATGGGCGGTAGCATACAGTCCTCGCCGGTTACATCAACTGCTGCAGCGTCAGCCACCATGTCTTCGCCTCTAAATAGCGGCGCTGGAGGTGCTGGTGGTGTGACATCCGTTTCCTCTTTGCCCAGCACACCTATCAAGTCGCTCGCAAATGACCAGCAGCAGCAACAACCGCACCAACAACAACAGCAGCAGCAGCAGCAACAACAGCAGCAGCAACAACAGCATCAGCATCAACAACAACAACAACAGCACCAACAATTGCAACAACAATACAAAAACACTTTGTCCATGCAATCGACCTCACATATGTCGCTGTTGGGTGGTATTGCATCAGAAGCCACTCGCGCAATGCAAATTTCATCGGCCACTTCGTCGGCCAATCAAAATAATCAAATGAATACCAGTTTAAATAATAATTCCACGGTCACGATTTCGGTTGGAGCGGGAGCGACATCAGCGTCGGCGGAATTGAAGGAAGCAGCAGCAAAGGCAGCATTGGGCTCTCCCAAAGTTACCGCACCTCAACAGCCGCCTATTATAGAATCAGCAACGTCGTCATCGTCATCGTCATCCACAATGCAGCAGCAGCAACAACAACAGAACCAACATCAGCCACAATCTAACATAACTAATTCTACGAGTGTTAGTGGCACTGTCGCTACTGTGGCAACCACTGCCACCTCACCGTCCTCACCGAATGCAGAAGCAGCTAAAACTCCAATTGCAATGGATACAACACCGCCACCTGTAACGCCGCCAGCAACCACCACACCGACTACAACGGCGGCGGCATCGCCGACGAAGAATATAGCGAATGTAACCTCCATTACGCAACCTACCACATCGTCGCCAACTAAAGGTAGAGTGAATGGGGTCAAATTTATAGTTTCATAAATTTTATTTTATTTCTTTCGTTTTTTTAATTTTTTTTTTATATACATACATAATTATGTATGTAAACTCCTACTTCCATCATTTTCTTAAATAAATAAAAAAATCCAATAACTCCTCACAGGCACTGTTGGTAATCGCTCAAATGACCCCATCAAAACCGGCAACGCTGAGGTTGAAAAAGCCGCAGCAACTGCATCTTCTGCAAATGATGAAATTACTACTCCAGCTCCTAAGCTAACGAATGCAGTCTCGACAAGCATACCCACCACCATGCCCAAGAACACTTCCAGTGTGGCAAGCGCAAAAGTGGAAAAGGACCTCCCGAAAGCCATGATCAAGCCCAATGTGTTGACACATGTCATAGATGGTTTTATAATACAAGAGGCCAACGAACCATTCCCTGTGACACGGCAACGCTACGCAGATAAGGATGCGGACGACGAACCGCCCAGTAAGTATTACCATTTTTCCCCCACATTATACTCGTTAACTCCACAATATACTAATCTATCATTTTGCAGAGAAAAAATCGGCTATGGACGAGAATTCGCACAATGCTATCAATCAAACCAACGGACAGACTTCTCTACCACCCGACATGATCGCATGCGAGCATTGCGGCAAACCTGAGCACAAAGCTAAGCTGAAGAAGAAACGTTTCTGCTCGCTAACGTGTGCCCGACAATCGAAGGCTTCCATGAGCGAGCAACCAACAGAGGCGCCCACACAAAGCAATACCAGCAATACTGTGGCAAGCAACCAGAATGCTGCTGCTGATGCCAAGGCCATTGCTGAAATCTCCAGTATTACGAGCAACGCAAATAACGCAGCTGCACCTGAGAAAATGCAAACTGAACCCATACCGTCGGCGCCAGTCACTGCCTACAGCAATAGTGCTGCCCAAAATGGCGCTGCTAGGCTTGAAAATGCAGCAGCTGTTGCTGCCGTTGTTGCTGCTGAGGCGCAACAGGTGGCCAATGTTGCGGCCGCCAATGCTGTTGCTGCCGCAGCTGCAGCTTCTGCAGCAACTGGATCTGCTGGTGGTGCGCATGCAGCGGCCACACCTGCCGAACGCCCGGCAATGGCCGATTGGAGTGTGGCTGAAGTATGCGAGTTCATACGCCATTTGCCTGGCTGCTTGGACTATGTGGATGATTTTGAACAGCAAGAAATTGATGGACAAGCCTTGATGTTGCTCAAGGAGAATCATTTAGTGAATGCGATGGGCATGAAGTTGGGACCAGCGCTAAAGATTGTCGCAAAAGTTGAGTCGATGAAGGAGCAGACGCCAGCGCCTAGTGCCGATAAAGAGGCACAACAGTAGAAGCGGCGCTTAAAATTTTGTAAATAAATGATTTTGAAGCGATATTTTTCTTCAACAATTAATAGCATAAAAGGAGTTAAGCAAGCGAGTAAATGCTCTATCTTATATACATACATACATAAGTAAGCTCTGTACATAAAGTAGTCGAAGGAAAATGATGATAAGTTCTATATATGGGTAACTTTTTTAACTACTACTACTACTCCTGAAATCGAAATAACTATGAATATAAATAGTTTTATGTAAACATTAAGTGTGGAAATATAAACATAGAATTAAACTGCGCGCGTTATTTATGCTAAGTGAGATTAGAAGTATCTTTCACTATATTTAAGTATTACTTTAGAGGTTTCTTTTCTGTTATATATATACTGTTTTATTATTCGTAGATTAATCACTTTTTCTCTTCATGTTTATTTGTATTAGACACTTTTATTGAAATTTAGTAATAAATATGTGAAGTTCATTATACGAGTATACATAATTAATATAATTAGCGCCTAGAGTACAGGCTTAATTTCCGCACTGGAGTTTCGCAAGCGTTTAAGGCGCTCATATTTTTTTTTTTTTTTGCGTTGTAGAAAGTGAAAACTCGACAACCTACAGATGTAAACTCAAAGAGTATTTTTATGCTTAATATTAACAATTACGTTATATTTAATGGTAGCTTGTAAACATGTAAATTCAAATGAATACCAATCTAACATTTGCAATTGAAGCATTATCGAAATAACTAAATAAATGGCGTTCACTACCAGTAAGTTTATGTGAAAAATTCGTAAAAAAAAAATGCTTTACTTTCTTTGCTAAGGATAGAACTCAATACCAGGATTTTTAGGTGTTCAACGCTTTTTAAGTTTTCAGCGTGTATCTGAGTAAATCACTGAAAACCTAAACAGCGTTTAACAACAGAAAAACGTACCGGAATCACTCACGTTTACACAATATGCTCGGTGTGTTGGTCCAGAATATACCGCAACGTGACATCAGTCAAGAGCAATTCCCGCCTTGGCTGGTGCCACTTTAGGCCATGTTTCGGACTGTGAACTACGCGATATTGGGCGAGTGACGATGTGGGCCCCTGCTGTGTTGCTGAGTCGCTAACTTCCCCC